AGATTTGAAAATAATTAACAATCTACTATCTATCAGGAGGCCAGGAGGGGTGGGGGAGGGAAGGGGGGAGGCAAAAGAAGAGGAGCTGATCCCAAGGGTTCAATGGAAAGTAAATGTCTAGAAAAGAACGAAGGAATATATGTACGAATTGATGTGTAGTTTGTAATAAGAGTTGTAAGAGCCTCCAATACAATGGAAAAGAGAGAGAGAGAATAATGGGGGGGAAAGGGTCACGGCATTAGGAGGGTTGAAAACCACTGACTTAAGCTCTTAGTATCAGTTCCTCTTTTTTCCCTTCAGCCCCACCCTCCTACCTTCATGACCCCTTGATAAATTATAAATTATTATTATTTTCATATCTTACACCCTCCGCTGTCTCCCTTCACCCACGTTTCTGTTGCTTGTCCCCCTTGAGAAGGCGGGAGGGGTGGGGTGTTATAAGTTGATCATTGCAATCAGTTCCCCCTTTCTCCTTCTCCCCCCACCTTCCGCCTACCAACATGGTAGCACTACTCCCATTACTGTTCCTGAGAAGTTTATCTGTCCTGTGTTCTGTGTGTCAAAAGCTCTTATGTATCAGTGTACATGCTCTGGTCTAGCCGGATTTATAAGGTAGAACTGGGGTCCTTATAGTGGGAGGGAGGAAGCATTAAAGAACTAGAAGAATGTTGTGTGTTTCGTCAGTGTTTACTGCATCCTGGCTGGCTCATCACTTCCTTGTGACTCTTCTGTGAGGGATGTCTAATTGTCTACAGATAGGTTTTGGGTCTCCACTCTGATCCCCCTCATTCGCTTCAATATGATTGTTGGTTTTGGATCTTCTGATGCCTGTTACCTGATCCTGTCAACAGCTCATGATCACACGGGCTGGTGTACTTGTTTCATGTGGGCTTGGTTGCTTCCCTGCTAGATAGCTGCTTGTTTAACTTCGAGCATTTAAGACCCCAGACACTATATCTTCTAATATCTGGGCACCATCAGCTTTCTTCACCACATTTGCTTTTACACCCATTTTGCCTTCAGTGATTATGTCGGGGATGTGTACATCACAGAATGCCAGGTTATTAGAACAAAGTGTTCTTACATTGAGGGCTTGAGTAGAGGCCCAATGTCTCTCTGCTACCTTAATACTTAACATATAAATATATGTACATAGAACTATAAGCCTATTTTTACATATTAATATGTTCACATATATGCAGCCTATGTTTATACCTCTGTAAAATATCTTTTTCCTCCTAATTCTTAACTCTATTTCCTTTTCTTTTTAAAAATACTTTTATTGGGGGCTCCTGCATCTCTTATCTCAATCCATACATTCCTCCAGTGTGTCATGCACATTTGCACATATGCTGCCATCATCATTTTCAAAGCATTCTCTTCCCACTTGAGCCCCTAATATCCGCTCCCCATTTCTTTCCCCTCCCACCCCACCCACCCTTCCTTCCACCACCCACCCTCCCTCACAAACCCTTGATAA